CTCTCTTCTAAAAATATGTTTAGAACACATAGATCGGCAATTTTCAAATAAAAACTAATAAAAATATCAAATATAGTGAATGAGGCCTTTGCGGCTAGAACATTCCACACAGTTATATAGAGGTGTTTTGGAAAATTGTTAAAAAGTTGATTTTTGATTTTTTATCAAGTTTTTTAGTTTTTTTGAGAAGTGATTTGGAAAGTTGGTAAAATATTACTTTTTTGGCTTTTTGATTTAATATTTTTTTCAATAATCCTTCGTAGGTCTAGAAAAAATTGGCCTGAGTGGCTTGAATATCCAAAATGACTTCGTTTTGGGTATTTTTTTTTCTTATTTCTTTCTTTCCCTCTTATATCGTTGAAACAGAGGAGGAAGAGAGAGAATAGAGAAGAGAGAAGGAGAGAGAAGAGAGAGGAGCACCACTGGTGCTGCTATCACCGACGCCATAATCGACGCCTCCTAGGTACAGATGTGTATATAATGATGATGATGATGATGATGATAATGATGTGTTGTTGTTGACGATGATGATGATGATGATGATGTGCTGATTTTGATTTTTGATTTTCGGGGTGAATCTCTATGATTTTTTATCTTCAAAAAAACAGAGGATGAATCTCTCTGATTTGGTGTTGTTTGTTGTTTTTTTTTTATCAGCTTGGTGTTGTTTGTTGTTGTTGATGATGATGATGATCTCTTTCTCTCACACAACTTCTTCTTCTCTCCTCCTTCTTCTTCTTCTTCATCTGCAGAGAAAAAAGGACAACAAAAAAAAAAAACTGCCCAAAACGACGTCGTTTTGGGCCGGGCAGCCCCTCGGGCCAAAAGAAATTCGAGCTACAAAACGAAATTGTATTTTTTTATAGTATCACGTCACATTAAACTGGCCAAAATACCCTTGCCTAACTTTAAAAATTTACTTTTTTACCAATATGTGTGGTTGAACATGGACCATAGTTACATAATTTCACAAGCCTGCGTTTTTCTCACTTTCCAAATGGTTTTCTCACTTCCCAAATGGCTTTCTTGCATTTTACTGCCATGGCTTTTTTTGTCATGGAGTAGGACAGCAACTTTTTCCTCTTCTTCCCAAATGGCCACATTCCCAAATGACCACATAATAGGGTGTACCTATTACTTGGCCAAGCAAAGTAAGGTTGGCTAATTTTATTTTATCAATTACTGTTAAATGTTGCCCCAAAGAGGGACATACCTCCACCAAATAGACTAGTGACTAGGGTGTTCAAAAATTCGCTTCAGTCTGTTTGGCACGACTTATGGTTCGGTATGTTATGATTTGAAATTTTTTTATTCTGATATAATTTAAATTGATAAAAAAATATTATATTTAATTTTTTTTTATATTTTAATTTTTTGAACATTAAAAAATAAGTGACTAATATAATATATTCATTTATACTAATAAAAACTAGAAAGGGAGACATTTATAGAGCAACTTGCATACCTCAATGTGAAATTCTACAAATTTTATAAAATTCTCTAAAATCTCATGCAAACCAACAAAACTAAATCGTAACATACTATCTATGTTATATTTTCAATCATCAAAATTGAAAAATCTAGTTCCATGTTAAATTTTCTCGTAATTTCGACTAAATCACATCATTTTACACTGTGACGAATTGGTAAGGAAATATTGCAATAGAAAAAGAGGCACAGGTGTGTCAGGTGTCAATATTGAATGTTTAATTTTTTTTTAATAGATATATTAAGACTTTTATCTAATTTTTTTGAACTTTTACAAAGTGAGCTAGTATAATTACGAAACATTAAAATAAATTAAGAGTTTCACAAATTGGCTCCAATGAAATAAGTGGGCACCGAGTTGCCACTGCCATAGATTTATTGACCCTTCACAATCAGCTTGAAAATAATATTGAGCTTGCTTGATATATCTTATTTTAAGTTAAAAGTTGATAATAAGAAAATATAAGTTAAAAGCACTTCCCTTAAGCTTCTAGGCAATCAAATTTTTTCAATTTATTAAATTATTAATGCTTAATAAGTTATAAGCAGAAACTGTACTAAATAATTTGACACAAACTCTTAAATTAAAATAAAATATAATAAAATAAATTCATTTAAGCTGCAACAAACAACTTATTGTTGATATGAGCTCAAGCAAGGAGTTTTCATAATTAAAAGACATAGGTGACCTTGCACAAACATGTTTTTGTCTTCCATAGGTGACCATACTAGTCACAACCATCATTCATATATATATTTGTCTTCCATAGGTGACCAATTTTTCATTTTTGGTTTGGGCCGGTCCCCCTTTATTCTCATGAATAATACAGTCATAATGGATCATGAAACTTTGGGCCGAGAGAAACCTGAGTTGCTTAGTGGGGGGCAACGTTCCTATTCAATTTGGGAAGGTACGAAGCTAATATTTGCCGGAAGATTTAGGGATTGTTTGGGAATTGGATTTTTAAGTGGTTTTTTAGTGTCTTGATGAGGTGAAAAAAAGTTAATAATATGTTTAAAAATTAAATTTGTCTCTCTGACTAATGTGATATTTTGAATTTTTGCCTAGAATTTTCACTTTATTCTTATTTTAGTTGTATAGAAAAAAAGTTAATGGGAGTGTCGGCTATTTTTTAAATTAGTAAATGTCAAGTTTTTTAGATGCATGTTACTTTTTAATTTTTTTAATGACTTTAATTAAAATAGTTTCTTTCCAAACATGTTTTTAGAATGCAATAGCAAGATGTAAAGTCAAAGCATTAAGATGCTATAATTTGACGATTCTACTTCAATAGTACAATTGATTTATTTTTATTTTTTATTTTAAATTATCATTTACAAAATATCAAATAGAATTGATATTTATAGGCCACATTGCTGGAGAGAGAAAAAAAAAATACTGAGAATTTTGCCAGTACAATGAAGTTCCTCATTGACAATGCATCATCCACGTACAAGGCCTGTGATTCTTAGGATCTACAGTGGACTATGTATGCTTCTCATCTTCTTATTAATCATTTGATTACAGATTGGAGTAATTATTCGCTATCATGATTGGTCAAGGAGTTGGATTTACAATTTTATATTAGATGATAAAAAATAATATAACACATATTGTATTATAAATTTATAATGAGTGCGTGACATGTTGAAGCATGAAACATTTGACTTTTATAATGTAAATTTTCAACTAATTTGGTGAATTTGTCCAAATTCATTCCCCCCACCCCCAAGATTAATGATATTAGAATAACTAAATGTTGGATTAATTACACTTAGTATCCTTAGATTTTTATCAAAACATCACCATGGTCTTTTACTTTCAAGTGTAACAGTCAACTCATATACTTTAAGTTTATAAGGCTAATGAAAATTAAAAGTAACAAAAATTAGAAGCGAAGAGATTAAATTGAAATTTTGGTGAAAGTGTAAGAGCTAAATGAGATGAGACATATGATTTAGATGATTAGTTTTGTCAATTTCGTTAATGCCTCATAGGTAGAAGTATGACATTATAACTTGATTTAAAATGTAAGGAGTTGATTATCACAATTACAAGTAAATAAATTAAAGTAAGATTTTGATATGCAGAATGATAAATAATTAAAATAAGATTTTGATAAAAGTGTAGAGTGATAAATAATTAAAATAAGATTTTGATAAATATAGTGATAAATGTAATCCCCCCCCCCAAAAAAAAAGTTTATAAATCTATTTGTTTTTTGATGAGGCACATTCATGCATTTATTAATACGATACATGAAAGGTTAGGTTAAATTAATAAATTGATAACATTTTTAGTGATCACAATAATTTGGAGCAAAAAATTGGCGATGATAATGTTACACTCCAAAATTGGCCCTAATCACCCATTAAATCATGCAGTTTTTGACAAATCAATAACTTTCTAACGAGATAATTAGCTGTCAAATAATTGAGATTGCCTGAATATTAGCATAATTGACCTAAAAGACCCGACTATTGCATTGACAATTGAGTACGTTTATATATATTTTTTAAGCTAAGAAAAGAACATTCATTAATTAAAAAGAATAAGGATAAAAGAAGCCTTTAATAAATAAAGACTTATTTGGGAAGAACAGCTGTAAGATTTACTATGTTTAAGTCGTGCTACTAAACTGAACTTAGCTCTCTAAGATAAGTTAACTAGAGAATTGAAAAAACAAGTCAAAGGAAACAGAAAACTAACACAATACAAACATAAAATTTAGTATCTTAAAAAATTAGATGACATAAAAAGAAGAGAAGATGCCATTCTTCACAAAAAAATAAATAAAATTACGATATTAAATGTAATTTAGCATGAGCAAATCATAGTCATGTGTTGTAAAATTCATCAATTACATCATATTTTTGCATGTCTGGTATTGTCAATATCTAAGGGAACAGTCAAAGAATTGGACATAAATTACTGTTGTTTATGTTTATTTACCATACTGAAAAAAGGAGAAATTGAAATTTATGCGGTTGAGGAATCATTTGCAAAGAAATCTAAGCTAGAAATAAATGATTGCAAAGTTATGTGAATTCCTCAAACGATGCCAACTGCACCAAGTGCCACAAAACTCCAGTGCAACAAGCATCCAACCAAAATTGAGAAAGGCGTAAGACAACTTCATTGGCAAAGACAAAAATAAAAAACACGAGATGTAAGAATAATTTAAGAATGGAAGTTTGACGTTGAGAAGTTTTCAAGAAAAAAAAAAAAAAAAAACAGATTCATTGTAGCTATTCTTAATTATCTGTTCTCATTTACGCTTTTTTTAAAGTATTAAAGTTTCATAGAAGCCATATTATTTACACACATGTTCAATTGAATTTTTATTTTTGGGAAATTTTTTTTTATTTTCAGGAAATTTTTGAAAAAAAAGAAAAGAAAAATTCTTTTTTTTAGAGAATACAAAAAACAACTTTTGTTCTGAAAACAAAAATAAATAAATAAATAAATAAAAGAAACAACAGAGAGGAAGTTGGGCAGAACCCAATTTTGGAACCCAACCTACGGACATTGACTTTCGGACCGAAGTCTAAAACTCGTTTCAACGAAGACAAACAATTCGGTAAGAAGATATGTGTGTCTGAGTTCATGTGTGTCTGTGTCTCTGTGTTCATGTGTGTGTCTGTATAACTTCCAATCCAACTATATGATTGATTGGGAACACCCAAAAGGACCTAACGCACGTGCCTTTGACCCCGTTACGACTTGAAGAAGCTTCCAAAGCTTAGCCCTAATCTCTCTCTCTCTCTCTCTCACTAGAACTCACCAAGCTCGATCAATCTCATCCCTGTGATCGAACAATTCAGTGAAGTTTGACTTGTTCAATTCAATCAGGTTAGTTCTATTTTCTTCACTTTCACATGCTCTCTCTTTTTCAATGCTTAATTCGCTTTCTACTGCTTTCTCTGATCGAAGAGGGTTTTTTCACGCGGAACTTCAATTTTCACTTACAAGTCTATCAAGCTCGATTCTTATCATTGTTTTTGTTTTCTTTGAGTATTTTGCGTGAAATTTTAATTTGCTTGAATGTAGGGTGTGATTGATAGGATTGAGGATTTGATCAGTGAAGTGAACAATATACAATCTACAATTGTTAATTATGTTAATTGTTATTTGGATTTTGGTACAGAATGTAATATCTCGTTTGTGTCAGCTATTACTGATTTACTGTTGACTTTTGTAGTTGAAATTTACTTGCAGATAGTAACAAACAGATATTAGGGTTTTGGATTGAGAAGCGGGATATAGATTCTTTGAAGTTGATGGGGTCTTTTTTTTAGAGTTGGTTGAGTATTTTAGAGTGAACTGTTTTTTTGCTTGAATGCAGTGTGTAATTGATAGGATTGGGGAATTAATCAGTGCAGTGAAAATTCTATTATTGTTAATTATTTTAATTGTTATTTAGGTTTGTTGATTTTGTTACATAATGCAATATCTAGTTTGTATTAGCTCTTACTGATTTACTGTTGATTTTTGTAGCTGAAATTTACTAGCAGATAGAAACAAAAAGATATTAGTGTTGGTTGATAATTTTAGAGTGAAAAATTTAATTATCCATGTATAAGTTTATTTTTTTGCTTCGATGTAGTGTGTGATTGATAGGATTGGGAATTAATCAGTGAATTGAACAATCTACAATTGTTTTTCTTATTGTTAATTATTATTTGGGTTTTGTTGATTTTGCTATGGAATGCAATATCTAACTTTGTATTAGCAGTTACTAATTTGCTGTTGACTTTTGTCACTAAAATTTACTTGCAGATAGAAACAAACAGATATTAGGGTTTTGGATTTGAGAAGTGGGGTATGGGTTCTTTGAAGTTGATGGGATCTTTTAGAGTTTGTTGAGAATTTGACTTTTGATGGTAGTGAGGGATTCAAAAATCAAAATGCCGGTGCATCGGCATCCCTCTCGAGTAGACACTATAGAATTGAAATTTGAGATTGAAAGGAAGCTTGGTCACGAGATATCAGAGAAATACTTTCATCTTTTGAACCGATACTTGAGTCTTAAGATTAGCAAATCGGAGTTTGATAAGCACTGCATTGGTACAATAGGGAGAGAGAACATCTGTCTTCATAATCGGCTTCTCCGAGGTATTATAAAAAATGCATGTGTTGCTAAGACTCCCCCGCCAAAAGAGAGCAAAACGGGCTGTTCATTGAATGTTAAAGTGCCAAATGGGTATCAAAGAAGTAATCTTCAGTCACTCTGTAGAGATGTGTTTCCTCAGTCTCCACGGAAGGGAAGGACACCAAATCTTCGTGATCGAAAGTTTAAGGACCGTCCCAGTCCTCTTGGACCTCATGGGAAGATTCATAGCATTGGATGTGAAGATTCTGTTCCTAAAATTCAGGAACAGCAAAGCGCCACCGAGATGCTTTCTTTAGGTAGCAGACCACCTCCTGAAGTAACCTCTGTGGAAGAGGGTGAAGAAGTTGAGCAAGCTTCTGGAATCCCAAGCACTTACTGTAGAAGCCCTGTCACAGCTCCTCTTGGCATCTCTGTAATTGGAAAAGGAACACGAAAAGTACTACGTAATGGATCAGCAACTTCCTTTTATATTGACTCTTGCCTCAATAGTGGTGAGCTGCCCAATACCAGCTCTTTAAAGACTATATTGGAGCAGAAGTTGGAGACAGAGAGCTTGAAAATTTCAACGGATTGCGTTAACCTGTTGAACAATGGTCTGGATGTTCACTTGAAGAGATTGATAAAACCATGTTTGGAATTAGCTAGTTCAAGGTTGGGGAATATGCACACAAGCGAAGTAAATAATCAGGTGGTATTTGGTTTGAATGGGATGAGACCAATGAGATATGTACAAAAACCTAACAGACCCGTTTTCGCATCCTTGTTGGACTTTCAAGTTGCAATGGAGTCAAACCCCAGGAGGTTTGGTGAAGATTGGCCAGTACAACTTGAGAAGGTTTGTTTGTTTGCATCAGATGAAGAATAAATTGAAATTGATTGTGCAGGACTTTGGTGGGACTACACACATGCAATTTCATCTCAGTGATAATGTGTTAATTGTAAATTCCGTTCTAACAGTGATGTTGACCCCACATTTTTATGTGTGATGCTGAAGGGTGTACGTGGTTAAAGCTACGGAAAATTTTGGATCAAGGCAATTAGGTTGTATATAATATAAATCTCAGTGCTGATTATTGCATCAATGGGACACATTACGTGGTAAAGTATATATGTATTGACACTTGTAAAAATCTAGCCACTGCAAGTAGCTCAGTGGCCTCCTTCAACTAATATCTGTAGTTTGTTCATCTCATTGACTTTTTGTTAATAAAGTTTGTCTTTGGAGTTGCCATACCTAGTGTTATTGGTTTGATATTAATTTGTTCCACTTTTTTTTACAGACCTTCAATTAAATATTCTTGTTGAGCTGCTGTTATATTTTTTGTTATCATGTTATTTAGATTGAATAAACTGTTCTTGTGAAAAAGTAAAATGTCTCATACTGTTTAATTTTTATTTATTTTTGATAAATAAATGTCTCATATTGTTTAATTAGTTTTATTATTTTGGTCATCTCTCTATCTTTTGCTTCTACTTTAGCATTTTGTTTTCCCAATTGGTTGACATGCCTATCCACTACCGTGTTACTGGAATATGCAATTTACTAACTTATGTGGTATGAGTGATATTAAGACATTAAGTATAGTGGTAATTTTTTAGGTTTTAATGATAAAATCTAAAGTGTACCACATGAAATTACAATGTTGAATAGAACTAGCTTTCAAAACTGTCAATTTATTTATTCTTGGGGTGTGGTGGTACTTGGGTTAATCGGTCTCTTTCCTTAAAAATGATATTTCAGTATTATACATGGATTGATAAAGATGCATATCTAAAGGTGCCTCTCCGTGTGTGTGTATACACATATATTTTAGTGTTCTGAGTGCAAATATGACCTCTTTGGATGTTCTCCTTATTCATTGTTCCTTTTGCATTTAATTGCCTCTGAGCACTTTTCTTTTTGTTTTTTTTTGGTTTTGGAGTATGTACATTAAGTGTTTTGAAGTTGAGAAGAATAACTTTCTTTTTTATTGTTGTCTTGAAGAACACTAATGTGACTTTCATTAATGTTTCAGAGTGGTCATCAAATGCTGAACATAGCAATGCCGTAATTCTAAGTGACAGCCATGAGCTATAGATGAAAATAATTTTTTTTCTTCTTCTTGAAGTGGTGTTTGTTATTACATCAAAGTAGAACTCAAATACTTGAAGGTAGAAGTCAAAATTTGGTATGGGAAAAAAGAATGTCCTGTGTTGTTTGTAGTTACCTTTTTAATATATATGATTTTCCTTTTTTTCTTGGTAAAAGATGGAAGAAGAATTTCTTATGATATTTGTAGATCTACTGTTGGATTAGTTTATTGTATTTGTACTAATTTACCACTCACCTTTACCTGAATCAGCTTTGGTTTTATAATTCTAAAGGAAGATACAAAAGGTCATACCATTACATTATTTATAACATTAAAAGTATTAGTTATAACACTTTTATACGATTTGTAGAATATAAATTCTTTGCAAGTTGATGCCTGTTTTCCAATTTTACCTTGATGTTCAATATTTTTAAGTTAATTATCATTTATCATGCATAATATGGTTAATCAATGATAGAAAGTTTGAACTATGGTGTCTCCAGAGAAGGTTTACAAAACTTGTAAATGAGACTGCTTATTTAAACATTAATAAATAAAGACAAGACACTAAAAATGACTGGAGATACACGACAAAGGAGAAACAAGTAAAAGGAATTCATTGCAGAGTATAAAATCCATACAATTTGATGATTATAGTGACTGGACTTGATGTTCTTCATCCAAACCGTGAAATATGATTTGAGATTGGTTCACTTAATATATTATGCGGAAATGCAATTTGACTCCATCTGCTGCTTTTACCATTTGTTGGAATGCAATTTGACTTTACAGTAACATGGTTTTGTATGCTGCATGATCATTTTCAATCCCAATCTGCACTCTGTAGATCAGATCTGTTAGTGCACTTCTAACTTCACCTTTGAGCTTTCTCCTTGTTTTTTAAACAGGGAAGTGATTTGTGCAGAGGCAAAGAATTATATTTCACTTACGAGAATCAATATCAAGGCTGTAAGTGTTGTCTTTAACTTCCAGTCAGCTTTCCTTTTCTTCCTTTTTATCCTCCTTCCAGTGAAACATGGAAATGAAAAACTCTGTTTTGCAATCTTTTGACCAAGATGATTGAGAAAGAAATACAACTTTCCAAACTGGAATTGCCATAATGATCTCTTTGGCCTAGCTATGTATTATGGTTTTCTGAGCTAATTTACGGAATTCTAGCACTTAAGTGGAGATAGGTGTTTGTTTTCCACTAACAATGATTTGGACTCACAGGTTTCCTATATTTTATCTGGTGACCATAGTTTGAATGTCAAGAAAATAAATCCTAGAACCTATGATGAGGATTTGGGAAGGACACATCCAATATGTACTACTCTTTTACCCTTTCAGCTATTTCCCAAATTTTGCATGTTGCCAATTGCACTTTTCAATGCAGTGCCTGGCGAGCACACGGATGTGCATATTATTCTTTGGCATAGGAGATACACCCTGTGCAAATAAATGCTATCTAAGGTATGCTGCTTTTTGACTGTTTTTCAATATGTTAAAATCTGTCCTTTGCACAGTTTATTTTGTATGGTTTTATACACTATAATGAGTAATGGGTGCTGTCATTGTTGATTTACATTCACAGTCAATTAACTGAGGAAACATATATAGACTTTTTAAGTATATTTTGTAGGTTCCATGTCCTTTGTGTGTGTGTTTTTTTTGGATGGGGATTTCAAATTGCAACTTGTTCTACATTTCTCAGCCTTTTGGACAAAGATCAAGTGCAAACTGCAACTGCATCTTCTTCTAAAAATTGACAACCATAATACGATTATTTTGATGAGATTATGCAGTCCTGCACTAAAGCTTACATTCACTTGGCCTCTTTCACCCCCAACAAATTTAAAATAATAATAGTAACACTACCACCAATTCGCCTCTCAAAAAAGGAAATCCTCATAACCTAAAAAGCCTCCTAAAAAGCCTAGAAAATATTTGTATAGATGGAGACCACTTAGATGCGTTCTGGCAAACATGAAACTTGGACCAAACTACCATTCATCTTACTGATTTTCCAAGGTGAGGGTTTAGAGAATGTTTTCTTAAAAAGAAGGTGAAGCTTCAAGAGTTTCCAACCCTGGTTTGCTCCGCCATGCACTGGCCACCTACCATATGATTGGAGCTGCTAGAATGCTAATAGCTATTGACAAAATTAGTCACATTTGTTACTAATTTTTGTTTATGAATTACAATTACTCGATTTCTGGCCAAACTGTAGAAAATTGAGTACATTGGCTCTCATGGTTTGTTTTGTATATCTAGAAATGATTGAGCCAACATGTTACTTAAAAGGTATTTGCTGTTGGTTTTGATATAAGCAACTAAAAGACATCAGAACTTTTTTGTTCTATTTTCTGGTAAAGGTATTCAACTGATTCAAGAGCAAAACAAATGGACAACTGGGCAGAGACACGTGAAAAGAAATTCTATCACACATCCTCCTATACATCAGTGGAAGAACTTCATTCAAGGCCATAAGGTATTACATGGGAGAATTTTTAATTCCTAGAGTGTACTAGACATGTCTCCTCTCATTTCTTTGTTGACATTTGTGCTATTGATGCATGACCATGGTGGAATTCAGTGCAAGAAATCATGATGTCAGATTGAGCTTCGATACCATATATACACACATTATACTCTTTTTTTTGTAAGGTCAATCTTTTCTATATCACTTTAAAATCATAATCCACCTAAATAATTTACAGAAAAAATTCCTCTGCTGGGTTGATTCCTAAAAATGTAACTATGGAAGTTTCACCTATTTTTTGAAAAAGAATGAGGGTCATTTGGTGATTGAATTTTGTTATATTTTTGTCATAATATAGTGGTACGGTCTTACTACTAGTACCAAAGTAGTTAAAACCCCAAAAGAGAAGAGTATATTGGGACAGATGGCTTTTGGCTTGGGCTAGCAATGTGAGTTGTTTTGTGGATTGTTCCTTTTGTAGATCTTTTGGAATCAGTGTTATGCTGGACACTTTTCTGGATCTTTTTGTGGACTGTTCTTCAATTGTATTGGATTAATGTGCGCTCAGGATTCTCTCCCTCTCTCTCTCTCTCTCTCTCTCTCTCTTCTTCTTCTTCTTCTTCTGTTTTTTTTTTTTTTTTTTCTCTTTTGTTAATATATCGCACTTCACCTTCTATTGGTATGTACATGTGTCCTTCCATGTCTTATTTGACTTACATACAGATTGTATTTACTGACCACCATGAATTTCATGAGTGTCAACTTTTCATGCATGTTTTTTTTTTTTTGGGTGTAATTCTCATGGTCAATAGTCTTCCCGGTTTTTATTTTTACGATGAATATGAATCACCTACCCACCCACCAAAGGAGCTGTGTTCCCTCAATGTGCAATAGTTTCATTTTCATTTACACCTCTTCGGATTGGAGGCAAGCTGCATCCTATTGGGGAATAGCTTGTCTCTAGTTCGAGATCGGATTGGATGATGTTATTCGGTCCATGGAGGCTCACTACGAGTCTTGTTTTGATAATCCGAATCGTTCAATGTGTAGAATTCGTTGAGTACTATATGCTTGTAAAAAATCACGTTGATCGGATATCGATAACTATCTCATTGGATCAGTTTTTTGTCAATCGTTAATTTGTTTACCATCCATTTTTTTTAATATAAAACTGATTTGATCACATAGCTATTAATATCCAATCAATGTAATTTTTTACATGCATATAGTATTCGACGAATTCTACACATTGACGGTTCAGATTATCAAAATCGGACCCGTGGTGGGTTTTCATAGGCTAAACAGTACCGTCCAGTATGAGGAAAGTTGCATCTTATTTTTTTAAATGAAATTTGATTACAAAAGATTTCAGCATGTCATGTCATCTTTCAATAAAAATAATATTAAAATGAACCAGCATAAGTGTTGAATTATGAGATTATGTGATCCAAAAGTACAATACTACTACTAGTACATAACAAACCCACCCCAAATTTATTCAATCAAATTGAACAAGAAAATTATAAATGTAATTTTCTCTTTTATTTGTGTTAGCATTCAACTTAAAATTTAAAAATTTGACAGTACTTTTATTTTGAATAATGCTACTACACATCAACATTTCTTATTCACCCACAAATATGTGAATCTCACTCAAATAAAATAAGAAATAAGAGGACAGAAAGTTACATCACGGAACGATAAAATTGGAATTCAAACATCAAAGATTAGAATTTAAACATAAAACTCGGAAGAAGAAGTTTTCATCCACCGAGCCAATCCTCTAATAAAGGAGTGTATCGTATTCATAGTGGGTAACGAGGTGACGGGTATGTATAGCACTACTCACTTAAAATTTTTCATTAATTAAATGCTGAACAGTCACGACGGATGTTCCCGTTGGATCCGGTTTTGACTCCGACCCGGCCCAATTTGGTCATGGCGGTGATGAAGGCCTTCTGGAAAGCGGGTGAGTTGCTGGACCAAGCATTGACAGTGGGTTTGGACCTGCGGTCCGTGAAGAGGACTTGGTCCGAGGTGAAGAGGCCCTTGCCTTGCTGGAGATTCTGAAAGTAGACGTTGTCAAATGTTCTGGGGGTGGTTGGATCCATGTTTATGGCTATCCTGGGATCCACATTTCTTGGGCACATGGATTGCAATTGGGAAGCATAGTTTTGGTTTAGAGTAGGGTCCACTGGGTTTTGATTGCTGAAATTGTAGATCCGATTTGCAAACTTGCCGCAGTGAGAGAATCCTACGGTGTGGGCAGCTGCAAAAGGAAGTTAAAAACAACATAAATTTGTTGTGGCAAACAAGGCCTTAGTGTTGGACAAGTTATTTGGTGTTGTTGGAACATTATATTATGATCATGTGTCTATCAAATAATAGGGAAATATGAAACTATTTTTGAACAAAAATAGAGATAAAGTGAACACTTGAACCCATGCAATTGGATGAGCAGACGAGTATTCTTGATTCACTTGATAATTTTTTAGGTAAATTAAACTAACTTTTTCTTGAAATTTAAAGAAAATATAATAAATTTTACAAGTTTAGTATAATTACATTAGATTCTTTCAAAGTTTTAATTCATATAAAACTTGGTTTCATTTTTATCAAAAATTCATTAGTTGTATAAATTATTATCATTTCTTTCGTATTGAAATGTATATTTTATATTGTCTCTTTTTGTGTCTTCATAACATTTGCATTGATTTAGTTTCTTTAATCTTACTACAAAAGATATGAATGTATTTATGTCAAAATTATGAGTCTTATTGTATTTTCTCTAAACTTAAAAGGAGGTTAGTGTAATTTACCCTAAAATTTTCTAATGTTGAATTAGTCAATTGTTTCAGACGAACTGATCACTGTGATGGGTTATCATGGCAGCAAGAAAATTTATTTTGAAAACTTTAATTTTATTTATTGGGTATTGGATTGAAACAATTCATTTAATAAAAATGCTTGCTTTTATTAGGTCATCCACAAATAATATTAATTATGCAAGGATTACAGTGGAATTGTTTGAACAATAAAGAAACTTACTAAAATCAAGCTTTACTTTTTTAACATCTTCTAATTTTTTTTTATAATCGTTACATACATAAATAAAATGGATTGAACTAAAGGGTGGTTGAAAGATAAGGTGAAACTGATGCAACAAGTAGTGCCATTTTGTGAAGTTTTGTAAAAAGTCCCATTTTTTATCCAAGGCGAAAAAGTTGACAGCCAAAAACCCTGTGAATTTCCATTTGGGAAGAGCAAAAACGCAAGTGTTAAAATTACAAATTGGGGCTTATGATAAAAAAATAAATTTCTTATGTTGGGTAAGGGTATTTTGGTCATTTTAATTTGATTTGACACCATAAACAAATATTAAACCAAAAAGTCAAAAGTCAGCTTTTTACCAACTTCCCAAATTACTTTCCAAAAAGCTAAAAAATTTGATAAAAAATCAAAAGCTAACTTTTTATCAACTTTCCAAAACACCCACTTTGAATGCGAAATCTTTAGAGGAAATAGCAAATCAGTGGCAACTTCAAAAATAAATATTAATTTTATTCACTTTTAATGTTACAAAGTTTTTCATTAATTTGTAAATATTTTCCTTAAATTTCCCTCAAATGATATTTTCCCTAATCTTTAAGGGAATAATATATAGAGGGCACATATTTTTAGGATAACATGTTTTAAACTAGGGGTGCAACTCGGGCGGGCTCAACCTGAGCAACCCGAGCCCAGCCCGAGTTTTTTTAGGGCTTGGGCATCTATATCTTGTAATCTGGACGGGCTTGGGCAGATTTTTGATGCCCGAATTGCAATTTGGGCCGGGCTTGGGCAGAACCAATGGCCAACCCGAGCAACCCGAACCCGAATTGAATTTAATATAATATATAATATATAATTTAATAAATTATATATTTTTCTTAAATTTCCCTCAAATGATATTTTCCCTAATCTTTAAGGGAATAATATATAGAGGGCACATATTTTTAGGATAACATGTTTTAAACTGATTTTCTTGAATAACAACTAGAACTGCTTTGTTTTTATTTTTATTTTTATTTGTCTTTACATTGGAGATTGTACTTTGGGGAAGAATCTTGTGACACAATTCAAATTCTTAATTTCTTAATTAAGTGGAATGGTTTTACTCTATTGGATATGTCAATTGGCTAAAATTGAACATAACTCAGATAATAACACCAGAAAAGGTAAACTCTCAAAATATTATGTGATATTGTTTACGCAAGATTTTTCAATAATAAAAAATGGTAATACATTAAGGAGTATTCATTTATTTCCTAAATATATAAAAAGAGTGAGTCAACTTGTTCTATTCATAAATTATTTTTACTATATTATTACTTTAAAACATGTAAATTTTATAATATTTGAAAATTATTAAATATTTAGTTTTTTTTATTAACTACTAAAATAATTAGTGCTAGAAAAGGACCCATTTCATGGACTTTGCAGCCTTGATGGTGATGTATATCCACGCAAACAACATTTAGCTAAGAGAACAAAACAAAACTATTTAAGGCTTTATCCACTCGTAATCTCATGCCAGCTATATATGGCCTAATTGACTTGGACTATAACAATTAAGTAAGCTAAAAATCAAAGAAGAAAAGCAAGTAGGTTTTTTCAAGCCAGCCACGTGGTAATCCCAAATGACAAACATGTGAGTGTTGAAAAGTTATATCCGATCATGAAATTAAATATAAAATTTCATTTTACATAAAAAGATGTGTTTGATTTTATGATTAGATTATAAGTAAAATTATTATCCCTTCTTATTGGTTAGAGTTATTACTCAATAAATTAAGTGAGATTTTTATGGATGTATTAGTGTTGAAATTCTTACATTTTACTGTTCAGAATCGCTAAAGAAGAGTGAATTTGTTGTAAAAATCGGTTTGAATTGAGAATTGTGAGTTAACGGGTTAGGTTACGAGGATAAAACAAAAAACATAGGCCTATTAATTTAAAGCATAATTTGTTAGGTATTAAGTCCAATCTATAGAATCGACCACTAAGTTCCCAGATTATATATGCATGTAGAAGAAGTGAGATTGTTAGGTGGGATTCAAATGATTTACCTGAGAGAGCAATCATGTCTGTTTGAGTTAGCCCATTAGCAGCAAACAAGGAATTGAGCTGGTTCAAATTGAAGGTTGGTTGAGGCAACTTTCCATTTACACTTGCAGCTGTTGAACTCAGCCCATCCAATCTTCCCAACTCTACTGCATATGAAGGTCCACCAGACTGCATTATCAAATCCCAAAATTAACTGCAATGTTACCAACTTTAGAAAATATTAAGAATTTAAAATTTATGATTCAGATTTATTTTGAAATCACATTAAATTTAAATTTGACTAACTAAATGGCCGTTGATAGAATTGAACGGAGAAAAAGAATTCATGCAGTCGATCTTATTTGATGAGACTTAAAACTTGATTTGGTTTGGTTTGATTTGGTTAGGTATCAAATTTAAATTCATTCTAGATATATCGCATTGTTACAAGATTAATATGATAAGAGCACTTCTAAATTAATAATTAAGATCACAATAGTGAAGAAGAAATAAAGAATTTGTTGTATACCTTAAATTTTAAAATTGTTTTTATAGCCCTGCATCAACTTTCCCTGTTTAGCGATGTTATATAATCTATACCTTTTATGTAAAATGAACATGGTGGAGTGGTATAATATTAACACCAAGTTAAAGCTGTGTAATGCTATTTTTAGGGGTATTTTAGGAAGTGGGTTAAAAGCCACTTCTAAGTTTTTAACCCACTTCCTTCTCTCACAAAAAATCAAAAAAATAATTTTTAACTATCTTCTCAAAACACCCCTTATTTGCAAAATTACTTATGCGGGGAACATAAAAATCTATCACAGAAACGTACCAATGCGACAACGTCACGGGTTGCCATGGCAAGAATGTCAGCACAGGAGACCTTGTTTGTGCAACTTGGGATCGCATCGACTGCAGCTTTTGCTTTGATGACAGTGTCAAATCCATCTCCAGCCAGCGATAGATTATCCGGGTGATCCTTCTCGGCTGTGTTGCTTCCGGAAGATGCAACTATTACTGAAGCATCGCAACCCTATATCATTTTCAAACAAAAACCAATCTCCAAATCAATACTCCATTTTTGCATTGCCTGATTTCCGCTAAATTTTTATCACTATTCATGGGTAATGCTAAATAAATAGCAGTTCCATCACGAACATAGAAATCGGTTGTGGTATTAAAGATTAGTTAGTAGGGCTTATCTTTGAAAAAATTCGTTCCTACATATATATTTTGGGAGAAGGATCGGCTCCAATCACTGTTTTGGACTGGACGGGATTGTTCCGGCTCGTAGAGCTCATCACGGGTTCCATTTTGTTAATCAAAATCATTCATTTTGTTGGATATTTCATGTATTTTATCTATGTAAAAAATTAGATCGATTCGATAATTGTAACTAGTTCAATTTATCGCATTTTTCATAGAAAAAAAAATACCAAAAAAAAAAAAAACCATACATATTTTTTATGACAAATACAATAAATTGAATTAGTTACAGTTATTGGATGAATTTAATTTTTTTATGAATGAAATATACAAAATATTTGACAAAATGAACGGTTTGATTTATCAAAACGGGACCCGTGCCGAAACAGTCCCGTCCGGTCCAAAACAGTGACCGGAGGGGACACTCCTCCTATACTTGGTGCCTACTTTTGTGATCGATTTTTGTAGTCGGAGATTTATTTGGCAACTTCCTTCCAGTTTAATTAGTAGACTGGAAGGTTCAGATTAAGGTATTGTAAGTTCATATGTGAATCTTTCTTAATAATTCAAATCATTTAATTGTTAGTGCTCTTGACCACAACATCCATGTAAAAAAATTAAATTAATCGAATAAAGGTAGACACATTATCAAAAATCAAAGAAGATAAAAGTAGACACACTTTTCGATCACATTAATTTTTAAAATAATGAATAGCAAGTATACCTTAAAAATATATAATCTATCTTTTAAAAAATAAATGCAATTCAAATATACCACTCCTTATATCAAATCAACTTTTCTGGCAAAAACGATCGACTCAAAAGACACTAAAAAATGATCCACAGCACAACGTCCAATTAACAAATGGTGACTAAAAACAGGATTTAAAAAATACAATATAAACTCAGAGGCGCTAACGACAACCCTTATCATCTAATCTAACCAAATCACCCTCTACAACTTTAAATTTTAAAAAAGAAGCACAAAATTCAAACCATTGATGATTAGTTGTTCCTGTTTACCTGAACAAAACAATCATGGAAGAAGAGACGAAGAGTTGCAGGGACTGTGACAAACGTTTGTTGAAATTTTTGAGTAACCACATTTCTAACGATGTTTTCGACATTGGGGCATACATTGGCGTAGTAGTTTTGTCTGAGTTGTGCAGATGTCGAATGTGGGAACAGCACAAACAAGATAGACCACATGGCTATCATCACAACACTGAGTCGACCCATTTCTGTTCTAGTTTAATTAGTAAATTGGAAGGTTCCGTTTAAGGCATTGTAAATTCATATGTGAATCTATCTTAATAATTCAAATCATTTAATTGTTAGCGCATTTATGTAAAAAAATTAAATTAATCGAATAAAGGTAGACACATTATCAAAAATGAAAGAAGATAAAAGTAGACACACTTTTCGATCACATTAATTTTTAAAATAATGAATAGCAAGTATACCTTTAAAAATATATAATCTATCTTTTAAAAAATAAATGCAATTCAAATATACCACTCCTTATATCAAATCAACTTTTCTGGCAAAAACGATCGACTCAAAAGACACTAAAAAATGATCCACAACACAACGTCCAATTAACAAATGGTGACTAAAAACAGGATTTAAAAAATACAATATAAACTCAGAGGCGCTAACGACAACCCTTATCATCTAATCTAACCAAATCACCCTCTACAACTTTAAATTTTAAAAAAGAAGCACAAAATTCAAACCATTGATGATTAGTTGTTCCTGTTTACCTGAACAAAACAATCATGGAAGAAGAGACGAAGAGTTGCAGGGACTGTGACAAACGTTTGTTGAAATTTTTGAGTAACCACATTTCTAACGATGTTTTCGACATTGGGGCATACATTGGCGTAGTAGTTTTGTCTGAGTTGTGCAGATGTCGAATGTGGGAACAGCACAAACAAGATAGACCACATGGCTATCATCACAACACTGAGTCGACCCATTTCTGTTTCAGAGAGATGAATTTAGGAAAGACAACAGAGTGAGAGAAAAATGCAGAGACTTTGGATATATGTAAATGGGTCAATTAGTATTATTGAGGAGGCAGAGATTTATATGGGTAATTGTCATGAGTAGCTCTTAAAGCCAGCTGTTATTAGATTTTTATTTATTATTTTTTGAGCAACCAAGAAAATTAATGTAATGGGATAAAAAGTGGTTATCTGGAAAGAGACATGGATGGATGTCTGTTGAGCTCGTGGCCACCTTTGTTTTATGGATAAATAATAATTCAGTGCATAGTTTAAAAGTTAATTTTTAATTTTTTTTTTTGAATTTGTAATAATTTTGTAAAATCGCCACTCTGTGATAATTTCTCCTTGTTTTATAACATACGTATATATAATTTATATACAAAATGACATGATAATATTGAAATTAATTATTTTAAAATGATATTTAATTCCAAAGATGTCAATCATGTTATTCTAATGAATAATTCTATAAATAGTAACGGTAGTGCCACATGCATCAATTAGTGTACTAACTAGTATACCAACACTAGTTATAACATTATTATTGATCATACTTATTAATTACATTACAAATTTTAAAAACTACACTAATTGATACATATAATATTATTTAAAGAGTAATGAACTTCTCTCCTACCAAGGATTTCCAAAAAAGAATCCATTTGAGTTTGTAAGGCCTGTCCATTGCGGATCATACTTTGATATTTTGATTAAATTTATAAAGTGTAAATTATTTATTAAAAAAATAAATCAAATACATCTATTATCTATAGCCATATGACTTTATAACATTTATTTTTTTAGAATCATTCTCGCATTTTTCTTTAAATAAGTATATAGCTATTTTTAAAATTATACATACTATTTATTTATTTTAAATAAATATAATAAAATAATATAATTATGATTATAAAATTAATTTGATTCCTGATTAACACATTAAAATTATGAATGAAATCCATAATGAATTTTACAAATTCAACTAGTCCAAATACTTAAACTAGAAAGAGAATCTAGTTTTTCTTGAATATTTTCCTTTGTTTTATGGGTAAAGATTGAGAGTTTTAATTTTAAAATTTTAAAGAGAGTTCTAATGATGTGGTAAGAAATGAAACCCATATATGACGTGGTATGTATGCTTATGTTTTGATTTTTGTTTTTTTTTTTTCTTTTCTTTTACAACATCATTAAAATTCTCTTTAAAATTTCAAAATTAAAACTCTATCACTGTTGTTGTTTTATAGTAGTTTGTTCCTAAGTGCCCCGCTCGTTGTCTAAAGATTCTAGTGTTGAAAATGTAAGTTTGAACCCAAAACGTGGTCCAAGCGAGAGAGAGAGAGAGAGAGAGAGAGAGAGAGAGAGAGATGGCTAAAGAGATGGGTAGATGTGGGAACAACTAGCACGTAGAATGCACGTTAAGACAGAACTCTCTCACAACAACAGTCTTGTGATTGAAAAATCATTGAAGTGTTGTTTGAGAGTTTTAATTTTGAAATTTTAAAGAGAGTTCTAATAATGTGGTAAGGAGTGAAACCCATATATGATGTGATATGTATGCTTATGTTTTGGTTTTTGTTTTTTTTTCTTTTCTTTTATCACATTATTAAAATTCTCTTTAAAATTTCAAATTTCAAAATTAAAGCTCTATCACTGTTGTTGTTTTATAGTACTTTATTCCTAAGTGCCCCGCTCGTTGTCTAAAGATTCTAGTGTTGAAAATGTAAGTTTGAACCCAAAAACGTGGTCCAAGCGAGAGAGAGAGAGAGAGAGAGAGAGAGAGAGAGAGATGGCTAAAGAGATGGGTAGATGTGGGAACAACTAGCACGTAGAATGCACGTTAAGACAGCTTTCCTGTGGGCTGCCTAAACTCTCTCACAACAACAGTCTTGTGATTGAAAAATCATTGAAGTGTTGTCAGTCAAAAAAGATCGAAAGACATGTATTGAAAAACAACAATCCAAGGCTTATTAGGCTATGAAAATGCCCATTAATATATATATCTTTTTTCCATATAGGAGGAGGAGGCTGGGACGAGCCAACCAAAATGGACCATACTTGTTGAGAACCAAACAGCTGAGTCATTCATACCCTTTTTTGTTTTTTGAACAAAAAGAAGAAAAAAAAATCCATGGAATATCATAACTTTTTTAGATCCTGACTTTAGAATTGTCGGTTAGCAGTTAGATTTAATTCAATCTAAAGAAAGGGATCCTCCACCAGAATAACAATAGACTCTACACTCATTCTACAATAAGAATCGTAGAGCTTTACGAAAGGAGTACAGCGCAAATCCGAATATTTTTATACTCACGAGTGTCAAACTCAGACATCTTGCAAAATGGGAGGGCCAATAACCATTGGATCACCACCCCCGGTGGTGGGTCATTCATACCGTGCTAGTTGCTTCTTCTTCTTCTTTTTTTTTTTCTTTTTTTAGCATATCTTGTTAGGTTAGGAACAGTGACATGTTATGTATTTGAAAAATATTTATAATTTGAATACGTGATATAAATTTAAATTTAGTGGAGTGTTTGTGTAAGAGAAAAAATTCTTCCCACCCGAGAGAGCAAAATGATTCCACATGAGCCTCCATATCTTGCAAAAACCACAACTTGTTAGAACTATCCAACCAATAATTTTTGGTTGAATGAGGCTGTGATGGTAAAGTTTTGACGGTCAAATCAGTGATGTGTAGTAATTAGAATAATGAATTACGTCTATTATCATAGTGATTTCATTATGATAAAAAATAATTACAAATTAAATATACAAAGACAGTCCCTTTTCTAATACATACATAATATTAATAATAAATACTAGCGACCCGCATAAATTCAAAAAATCACCCACAGTCATATAAAATATGTATCAGTTTTAATCAGTGACACTCTGAAGCATATAATACTTAACTCTATAATAATTCAATTAATATCTAGTTGTTATGACATATGAGAATATGTACCTACCCAAATATATTAAATTGGCAGAAGCTTTCAATCGAGTTTGACTTATGATTAATCAGTCATGTTACCCATATGACGTTATGAAATTTAGAACATGCGAGTGTTGGGCAATCCCATTATAAACAACTGTTTTGCAAGAGACAAAATATTTTAAATTTATAATTTAAAAAATAAAATAAAATATGAAGATGATTGGAATAATACCATGTCTATCCATGTACGTAATCTATATTAATTAGTTTTGTTTTGGTGTGGAGTGTTTTTCTTTAAAAATAATAAACAAATAAATAAAGGGGACAAAAATAATAGAGAGAAAAAGTTAGGCGTGAGACATCTTGGCTTGACATGAGGCAAGTTGTTACTTGGATGGGTGGAGAGACGAAATCATGTACAACTCTCTCATTTCTCAATTTTAAATAAGTTCTTGTAGACCAGATTATTAGATCTCAAATCTCACTTGTTTCTCAGGCTTAACACATTTTTATTCACTGGAGACATGAGTCAATCATTAAAAACGCATTAAAACAGATGAACATAGGAGTTTTGAAAATATTTTTTGCATGCTTAAGTTATAGAGAATTGACAAATGGTATATTTTTCTTTTGTGATTAGGTTAAATAATAAGAGAATTTACGTGTACATCTTGATAGGTGGATTTATTATTTAATAAGTCTTGTAAAAATTAATTACGATTTTCATGAAACACTATTAAAAACGTCAGTAATTGTTAATTTTCAACGACAGTCTACAAATTTTGTCACAAAAATATCACTAATTATAAGTTTTAGCAACTATTTAAATAAATCGTCACAAAAAAATCACTAATTTTTAACTTTCAGTAACAGTTTAAAAAATTGGTCAATAAAAAATGTCGCTAATTGTAAGTTTTAGCGACGCTTTATAAAAATCATGATAAAAAAACCATTAATTATCAATTGTTAGCTACATATGCAAAAAATCGTTATAAAACATTAGCAACGATTTTAGTAGAATTTATTTTTAATATGATTTTATGAGAATTAAATTTAACTATTAGACTCGTTGGTAATTTATCCTAAATAATAAGGTCTATCATATTTATGTTGGTGTTTGGAATATAATATGGAGACATAAATTTTTTCGTAATTAGTGAAGAAGTTCTAATGAGTACAGCATAGGGTCTAAGAGTGTGTACTTTCAAAATTTTACATTTAACTCTTATTAGATGTTATCAATTTTTTAGGGTCACGTTCACAGTTTACGCTTGAAATTTGCCTAATTCACATGGAGAGAGCGTTTTAGATAAATTTCAAAATTAGTTGAGATGTGTATAAATTAACCCGAATATTCAATAATAATAATAATAATAAAAGTACTATATGACATTACAGCGAGGTACATTCCATTCTTATTTGTGAGTAAGAATTAAAGTTTTTTAATAAAAAAATGACGTGTTTTCAATCTTTTCATTCTTTCTTCATATCAATCCTTATGTCTATTAACTTATTATTATTATTGTGAAACTAAGGGAATAGTTTTGAAATAATTGATTGATTGATTAATCAAAATTAACTAATTTACTGGATTAATCCACTTCGCAAATTTTAATTTGTGATTTGTTCTAGTGTTAGAAACTATTCACTCACCCTAACTGCAAACGTAATTCATTGTGGCTAAATTACACTCACTGTTTGACATAATTTTATTAATCTTTCAATCAATAAGATTAAGTGATTGAAATAAATATAAATTGGGTGGAAGCACAAGAAAAATAAATATTTTAATATTATTTTATTATTATTGTGATACTAAAGAGATAGGATCGAAATGATTGATTGATTGATTAATTAAAGTTAATGAATTTAATTAATCAATCCACTTGGCAAATTTTAATTTGTAATTTGTTATGGTGTTAGAAACTATTCACTCACTCTAAATCACAAACTTATTTCAATTTTGGCAAGTTTGACCTAATTTTATTAATCTTCCTATTAATAAGGTTAAACTAATCAAAACTAATATAAATTAGGTGCAAATAAAAAAATAAATAAACAGTTCCGATTGGTAGCTCAAATATTATGAGACTCGAATGGCCTGAGTCCAAAACGACGACATTTTGATTTTT